GCACGACTCGCAAATTTCTTAGCCACGCATGCTGGCACACAAGTGTACCCTACAAAACACCACTACTGTCAACAAACTTGGCCCAAACTACAACGCTGGCTGCAACATTACAACATTAACACAATCACGTATGCAGACTGGCAGAGTTACATTGAACAACAGTGGCCACAGCACTTGCAGCAATCCAAACAATGGATTGGGCACAGCGACATTCAATACCTCAGAAAGATTATGCAACAGTTTGTGGTTCACTGTCGCGACCATGCTGCTACAGCCATTTTTGTGTATTGTCCTTTTCTCTACTGGACAGTCCTCAAGAAAACATTTGGAGATTCATCGGTATACACCCACCTCACTTTGACACCACCACAAGCAACACAATACCTACAACAGCTTACACATCAACCCTGGCTTCACAAATACAAATGGGCATACAACACCAACAGCGACTGCCCAACAGCCTACATACTATTGAAGCAGAAAAAACAATTCCTTGCCGCCAGGCCCATCATCAACTATCGTGGTTTTGTTTTTGAGAAGCTTCTCAAAGCCACAGCCATCGTTCTACAGCAGATGCTTCAAGCCTGCATGTCCAAGACGTTTGGACTACAATCACTCCAGCAAATTTTCTATACACTCCACACTTTCTTTCACAATGCACCAGCAGACCTGGACCTTGCCATTTACAACCAAGATTTGGCAGGGTTTTTTACATCCATACCAGCAGACCGCATCCTTCACGCACTTGCCAAGCTGTTGAAGCAATATCAACAACAACACCCACATGTAAATAACGACACTGTTTTCACAGTGGACATGCAACAGCCAGACACCACACTACGACTTTTTCGAGGACGGCCTCGTCGAGCTGCAATGACAAAACGACAGATCAGGTTTGGAGACATTTACAACATATGCAGTTTGTCTCTCCAGGCATCAATTTTTTCACAGCTCCAGCAAACATTTCAGCAAATTCGCGGCAGCGCAATTGGCAACCAAATCAGCCCAGTCCTGGCAAACATCACGGTCAGTCTGACCGAGCAAGATTGGCTAAACCGACCACAGGTACAACAATATCTTCACACACACTCAAACAGAATACTGATCACACGATACGTTGACAACAGGCTTGTACTCATTGACCAATCCCAACAGCACCACGCAATCATCCAACCATTCTTACAAGACACCTTTTACCAAGAACCGGTCATCCTTGAGGATGAACCAGACAATTCCTTTTTGGGCTGCACTATTGACTTACAAAAACATACATTGTCTTACATTCAACCAAACAATGCTTGGCAGTTTCAATCTTTTGGCTCTGCAGCTTCCACACAACACAAGCTCTCTGCCGCATACAGCCGCATCTGCCTAGCAGCAAGACACAGCCACCCATACAAGCAAGCACAGCATGATGTTGAGTTTTTAATTCAATCGTATGTTTCACTTGGTTATCCGTACAAGCCATTACGCGCTATGGCAGCCAGAATGTTGAGCATCCGGCGGTAAGTTTTCCACATGAATATTTCTATGATTGATGGTCTTTAATGCTTCGCTGTTCCAACACAAACAACCTATTGTTTTGTATTACAATTAAGCAAACAAGGTGCTCACCTGAATTGGCATGAGGGGCGACATTTCAATTTACTTAGTCTGAGCAACAGGCGTGCCTAAGAGGGGTGGAAAAGCATGTGCCCATACTGGGCTTGTTGTGTGTGCCGACCCCTGAATCAAAGGGAATGTTATGTTGATTAGTTCAGTTCGGAGTACATGTTCTAGATAGCTGGCACGAAGAAACCCACTGCACCGTGAGGCATCTTGCGAAATCGCGGAGAGTGGTTCGACCGTAGATTTACGAACTTGCAAGTCTATCGAAAAACATCATAACAGCTGAGCATGTTCAACCCAGTTCGCAGCAGTCTTTGCATGTATGTTAGTATAAGATCCGAAAGGTCAGTGCCCAGCATTGCCTTGGTGACCTGGTAAGTTTGATGATTGTCCTATCACGCGCCACCAGCATGTTTCTTCCTCAATCCGTGGATTTGCGTGTCTTGTGAGTGAGTGTATGTGCTGAACCCTGAATCAAAGAGAATGTTCTGGTGATTAGTTCGGTTGGGACCACATGTTCAAGGTAACTAGCGCGAAGAAGTCCATGTTGCATATAAGTTCCAATCCGACACATCTGTGCATCTTCAGGCGTGCAGCACATGGGTTTCGATCGTTCGTTTTGAATTAGTATACCAACGAGCAGGGGCATTGGGCACTCCTTGGCAAACCCAATGCAATGAAGCTATGCCTTGGAGTGGGATGCACGGTCTGATCAACCGTGTGTACCTGCAGTAATCTCAGTATGGCAACTGGGCAAAGCCAAAAACCCAGCATGAGGAAACATTAATTTTCATTTCATCTCACTTCATCGTCTCCCTTCGGGGTGTTTCTAAGTGTGTGTGTGTGAAACCCGTTATAACATACGGATATTTTACAATTTCGTACAACGAAGCAAGGAAGACAATATGTGGCGACAATAAGAACTGAATTTTAATTCAGACATGCAGGGGGCTGGAGTGTGAATCAGAAGTCTCCAGCCAACGAAGACGCTTCTGATGTCACAGTGATATCAACCTGGGACGCTAGGTTGACGTACCTGCAATGTTGGTTCGAACTTTTGCACAAGCTGTTCTAGTACCTTGTTTTTGAGTCCTTTGGCAAGAATCGATTGACCGAAATTCACCGTTTGCAACCGTGCCCCATCGAAGGTGACTTAGGAAATCAGGCGACGGCAAGTTCTACTCTCATCATCATCAAATCAACCTAAGCAGTGTGTTTGGGTGAACTCACTGACTTGTGAGCACCGTCGATCTGCTTCGTGCGGGTCTAGATCTGGTCACCGGCCGCTCCGGTGGATAGTGGAATGTCCAGTTGGGACAGTCTGGATTCGAAGTGGTTGTTATGTCAACCACAGGATTACTCCACTTTAGGAGCGAATTATGACAATTTGTCATACTTCAACGGATTAGTCCCACCGATGGACGGATTAGTCCCTTCGGAGGACCAGGATTAATCCCTATAGGGATGGATTAACCCTTCGGGGGGTCTCACCCGTTGTCTTACCCAAGTCCGATCCTTACTCAGAACCACAACTGGTCGTCGGTCGCTCTGGTGTTGAACAGTTGGCCGCAGTTTGGGCACTCACCTTTTTGCACACATCTAAGTAAAGTGGAACAGTAGGCCTTTTCAGCTTTTCACCTGTGGGTCGCTCTGGTGTTGAACAGTTGGCCGCAGTTTGGGCACTCACCTTTTTGCACACCTTTCAGTATTGTGGAACAGTAGGCCTTTTCAGCTTTTCATCCGTCGGTCGCTCTGGTGTTGAACAGTTGACCGCAGTTTGGGCACCCACTTTTTACACACGTCTAAGTACAATGGAACAGTAGGCGTTTTCAGCTTTTCACCTATCGGTCGCTCTGGCGTTGAACAGTTGGCCGCAGTTGGGCACTCACCCTTTAAATTGACTTCGATCTGGGCGCTGAACTAACAATTTTCAACTTGGTAACTTGTTCAAGTCAAGTGAAACAGTTAGCCTTTTCCAAATTCTTATCCGTCGGTCGCTCTGGTGTTGAACAGTTGGCCGCAGTTTGGGCACTCACCTTTTTGCACACATCTAAGTAAAGTGGAACAGTAGGCCTTTCCAGCTTTCCACCCGTCGGTCGCTCTGATGTTGAACAGTTGGCCGCAGTTTGGGCACTCACCTTTTTACTAAACAACTGTCCGAGGGTGAGTCTGACAATTTAACTACTCGCATTGTCTATCATCGCCCTACGGGGCTTGTGTGTGTGTGAAACCCGTTATCACATACGGAATCTTGATATAACTGTATGCTACGACAACAGGGACTGAGTTCTTCAGACCACAATCTTTAATTCAGAAATGCAGGGGTGACCAGAGTTATCAGCCCGGACCTCGGACGCTTTCGTTCATTGAATCCACCACGATCAATGGTCGGCGGCTTAGTCTTATGAAATACCGAAATCCAGACAGCGTTTTCACTCCTCGGTTAATGTCTCGTAACATTTCAAGACAGCGATTTTGTTATTTGAGTGACAATGTGCGTCTGTCATTTTAACTAATTAATTTCTTTATAAGAGTATTCGACCTAACAACCTGACGAGAGTTATCAGCTCGGACCTCACATGCTTTCGTTCACTGAACTGAAGTCACTGAACTGAATTCACCACAAACAATGGTTGGCGGCTTAGTCTCATGAAGTACCGCATTTCACACAGAGTTTTCGTTCCTCCATTAGTGTTTTGTGAAGTTTCAGGACTGCCATTCTGTCATTTCAGCGACAGTGTGAGCTTGCCATTTCAACTACTCATGTAATTTCGTCATTGCCCTACGGGGCTTGTGTGTGTGTGTGAAACCCGTTATAACATACGGATATTTTACAATTTCGTACAACGAAGCAAGGAAGACAATATGTGGCGACAATAAGAACTGAATTTTAATTCAGACATGCAGGGGGCTGGAGTGTGAATCAGAAGTCTCCAGCCAACGAAGACGCTTCTGATGTCACAGTGATATCAACCTGGGACGCTAGGTTGACGTACCTGCAATGTTGGTTCGAACTTTTGCACAAGCTGTTCTAGTACCTTGTTTTTGAGTCCTTTGGCAAGAATCGATTGACCGAAATTCACCGTTTGCAACCGTGCCCCATCGAAGGTGACTTAGGAAATCAGGCGACGGCAAGTTCTACTCTCATCATCATCAAATCAACCTAAGCAGTGTGTGTGTGCTTGTGTGTGTATGCTTACACTTTCCAAGATACATATAATATATAGATAACATTAGATAACTAGATAAATAGCTGTGTTGTATACTAGTGTGTATCGGGCGTGCATCTATACAACTACAAAAAATATGGGCTTTTGTGAACCACAAAAACACCATGGCTTTTGTTGGTCAAAAAAAATACCTGACATCGCCGGACATCCCCGGCAAGTCTCCAAATGTGACCAGCCATCATTTCCCATGCGTCGCTTGCGCCAAACACAGTTCTCACTGGTCAGTTCAAGTGCTTGCCGCTGGACACCCATGGAGTTGTCCAGGAGCAACCTGAAAATGGTGATTGAACCAGGAAGTGGGGATAAATTTACATCAATTCACTGGAAATACGATGAGATAAGACATGATAAGACGATTTTGGGACACCCCAAAATCGTCATTCCCATCATTCCAGTGACATCGCGACGTCGCAGGTCATAGTTCATCCCAGGTGAGACTGGGAAAATTGCGCAGAGATATACCAGCAATCCAGGCAGAAAGGACAACAAAAATGCCGAGAAAACACATCTTATCATTTTGGGGGGTAGTACCGAAAATTGTGATTTCACTCAAACAGCGCGGCGATACATGTCTGGTAATCAAACGAAATCATAGGATGCTAGAAACCACCACTCTTGAGGGGAAAAAATGTGTGAATGAGTAGAAATGGATAGAAATGGGGGTCTTCCCAGCTAGGTTCCTTTCCTGCAGGGTGCACATGGTACACTGTCTTGAAGGATTCTGAATTATCGATGATGATAAATCCCAGGCCAGTGCTTGATGTTTTCCCCCCAGCCCGAACCATCCTCAATATGCCTCAGTCAAAATTACCCAAATGTTCTTCAACTAGGATTGCACGTAAATGATGAAGAATAACTAATTGTCGACTTTGGCATGGTCTCTGCGGGATTGTTGTCACCTAGTATAGCGGAAGAAAACAAACGTGCTCACTGTACTGATCAAAACTGTCCACATTTGAGAGATGCTGATCCTCTCTAGGGTCGAAATATGAGAAACAAGTTTGTGGATCTGAATCCTTTCTTGGCCTCTAAGTTGGCTACCCCTGTCGTGAGTGTCTTGCTAGCCAGCCAGCAGTCAAGGCTGAAGAAACATGGTGTTTTGTGTTAGTTGGGTTTCGTTACCCGTCTTCATGACACCACCCCAACTCCAAGAGCACCACCAAACAAAATCACAGAAGAATTGAGGACAGCACCGCCAAAAAATCCCAGGAACAAAACATGAGAGAAACTCTCGTCCCCTTGTCTGAGGGTACATCTCATTTGAATTCATTTGATGCTTTCAAACCAGCACCAATAAATCCAAAACAGATTTGATACCGATAAAAGGACATAAATGAACATATTTCAATATTTCAACCAGGAAGTCCCTTTCTCATTCCCCCCATCTGAAAAATCCAAAAGTTAGGAACTTCCTTACACACAACAAGAAACAAGCCCTTGGTGTAGGACCTCTTGCCCGAGTAGTGCACAAAAATCCGCCAGTCCACCTGCGAAGGGCTAAAAACTACGCCAACCATGTATCCATTATCTATTCATCATGACGCGTCATCCACAATTGCCAGGTTTTTTTCGTATTTTTTCCTGTGAAATGATGTGCCCTTTCAAGCCATTTGCAAGGCCCCATCAACTTCAATGGCTTGGGCCCTGCGACCTGAGCCTTCTTGTTGCCCTGCTCCACATTGGAAGAAGGAAACTCCTTGAAGTGCCATCCAACTTAAGGATGCTGTTTCGCAACTGGGGTACTTGCTACAAAAGTATATGATAGTATAAGTAACCCGTTGCGAATGGCGGGAATGGGGATACAACTCGGTCAATTAGTTTTGGACATACATGTTTACATATATGCAAATGTAATCAAATGATATCAAATGTGCGCATAGACATACATTTAATTTATGTCAGGTGCTAGCCATCTAGCCTCCTGGCCCACTTCACCCAGAGTCCGTCTCGAAGCCAGACAGTCTCCACATCAAATATGTCCCTTGCTGCAGTAAAACATAGCTCTTCCCATCCAGAGTATCTCAGCAAACAGAGCGACTCATTCACACGAAAATGACCAACGGTAAGGAGTCCTTACACAACTGGAATGTAACCCTCAACATCATGGGAATACTTGGCTCTGGTTGCTAACGCTTTGTAGCTCGCTACGTCAGGGTACCCGTTCATTGCCAACATGTTTAGAAAAACTCTGGGATTGCGCACTGACTGTATGGCCGGCTGAAAGAATTCAATCCTCCAACTCAGAATGTTTCCCTTACATATCTATGTAGGTATTCTGTACATGTATGCATGTATATATGTGCCTATTTTAAATAGTAAATATATATATATACACATACACGCATACATAATATGAAAATAAATGAAAATAACCATCAATTACTATTCTTAGTTTCTTTGCAAATTGTTCGGTAGTAAGGTGCAACAATCCCTCATCGCGAAACAGTATGGAATGAGAAACCCAGTAAACAGCCAGCCCCATTTGGGGTTTTGAAATCTGGTATACCCCATCCCCGACGGGGTTGATTTAAACTAACCCCCAAACATGTTTGGTTACTGGGATGTTTTATGGCAGTGGAACGCATTGGATTTATACATTATTCAGTATTATTCATTGTACTGTAACAACCAAGAAAAATGGCAATAAACCCAATACAATAAGGGATTAACCTCTGCTAATTCAACGCTTTGCTACTACCTAATTCAGGAAAGTCACCATATTTATACGTTAAATCATCTATAAAAGGACCATGGTTTCCATGGCCGCCAATTGCCAGAGGCATCCCAAGGCCCTGCGGGAAGAGCCACGCACGTGGGGATCACCCACAACACTGCCATCTTGTTTGCCTGGAGAAGGCAGAAATCGCCTCTTCTTGGGTCTACAATTTCTGGGTTGAATCAACCATGAGATATAATGGAACGAAATGGAATATGGAATATAACCAATATATCTGAGGGTAAAATCCCAGCTAAAGAAGTGGCCGCAAAGCCGAGATGCAAAAGCGAATGCTTTTCAGACCAGCAGGGCCACCGAAGTCAAGGGATACCTTCTTCACGTTCCTTGGGGAAAAAATACGGCACCCCACTGAGGACGCATCCATATATAACATGTGCTGTACATGCATGCGCACTAGAGATGGTATGTTTTTGCATCTCTATCTATCTAGCAATCGAATCTATTTTTTCTATCTAATCTAATCTAGTCTACTCTGGTCTAGTCTAATCAAATCTAACCTAAACTAATCCGGATCTTGATCCAATCTAACCTGGTCTAACCAATCTAATCCTACCTCGTCTGTCTAATCTACCAAATCTATCGGGTCTATCTCATCTGTCTATCTACCTATGTTCCTACTGTTCTATCCATCACATTCAACCTGTCAATCTATCCATCTATCCATCTTTCCATTTACCTACCTATCTACCTACCTACCTACCTATCTATCTAACTATCTATCTATCTATCTATCCATCCATCTTTCCATTTACCTATCTATCTACCTACCTATCTATCTCTACCTACCTACCTACCTACCTACCTACCTATCTATCTATCTATCTATCCATCTTTCCATTTACCTATCTATCTACCTACCTATCTATCTCTACCTACCTACCTACCTACCTATCTATCTATCTCTATCTGTCTGTCTGTCTGTCTGTCTATCTATCTATCTATCTATCTATCTATCTATCTAATCTATCTAATCTATCTAATCTATCCAATCTATCTAATCTATCTAATCTATCTAATCTATCTAATCTATCTATCTATCTATCTAACTACCTAACT